ATTAAAATAAAAAAAAAAGCACAAAAAGGTAAACCAAAAATGGGCCTGTGCAATTCCACGCTTCTAGCCCAAAGGGCTCTTGCGTGAGGGGGCGTGTTGAGATAAAAAGTCCCACATCGATTAGATGGGAAACTAATATGGCCTTTATAAGGCCTTGAGCACTCCCACCCCTTGAGCTAGCTTTTGGGGTGGTGTATCTCAAGGTTCTTTATATGGTATCAGAGCTCTAAACAGAGCTCTGGTATTTCGCCCTTTAGTTCTTTACATTTTCTCTCTTTCTTGAAAATTTTCTTTCTTCTTCCTTGCCAACAATGGCGAATCCAGCCAGAGATTCATCAAGTCCTTTCTTTATGCATTCAAATGAAAGTCCTTCACTGGTGCTAGTTTCTCCTCCACTGACAGGAGCCAATTACCATACCTGGGCGCGAGGTATGAAGGTAGCGTTAATTTCCAAGAATAAACTTGGATTTGTTTATGGAAGCATTGAAGTTCCAAACGCAGAAGATCCAATCTTTTCAGTGTGGCAGCGTTGTAACAACATGGTTATGGCCTGGATACACCGTTCCATCTCGGAATCGATAGCAAAATCCATAATATGGAGTGAACGTGCTCGTGAAGCATGGTTAGATTTGCAAGAACGTTTTTCTCAATCCGATCTGTTTCGTACATCGGATCTTCAAGAAGAAATGTATAAACTGTAGCAAGGATCCAAGAGTGTGACTGAATTCTTTACTGAGTTGAAAACTATGTGGGATGAGCTTGAGAATCTCAACCCATTACCAACATGTAGTTGTCCAATTCCTTGCATTTGTGGAGCAATTATCAAGATGCGAGATTATCGTGAACGTGATCATGCCATCAGGTTCTTGAAAGGATTGAACGAGCAATATGCTCCAGTCCGATCACAAATTATGCTGGTAGATCCTTTACCAAATGTGAACAAAGTCTTTTCTATGATTGTGCAGCAAGAAAGACAATACATGACTGAAAGTCACACAAACGATTCTGCAATTACTCAGATTTTGAATGTCAACAAAGATCGCAATTTTACTCCATTCAATCGAGGAGGATTCAATAACAATCGAGGAGGATTCAACAATGGTGGAGGAGGATTCAACAATGGTGGTCGATCAACACCTAATCGAGGAGGTTTTAATAACCGTGGAAGAGGATTTAACTACGGAGGAAGAAACTCAGCACCTAATCGCATGTGCACTCATTGTGGCAAAGGAAATCACACTGTTGATACTTGTTTCCACGTTCACGATTTTCCACCAGGTTATAGAACCAATATCAATGTTCCACACACAGCAAATGCAGCATTCAATCAAGAAACTGATGCGGCAGTTCCAGAAAATGATGGCTCTTATTCAGGAGTCAACCTTTCACACAGTCAATACCAGCAAATTATGGATCTTTTACAGAATCCAAGCATGAGTCAGAACAATGAAACAACACATGCAGCAGTGAACTCGGTCACCATTTCAAATGCAGAAACAGTTTCACAACCACAGCCCTCAGGTGCACAATGGATAGTTGACACAGGTGCAACTGACCATATTGGTCATATTAAATCTCAATTTTCTTTACTAAACAAGATTCCTCCAATTGCTATAATTTTACCTAATGGCTCACGAATCATTGCTTGCTATTCTGGCACAGTAGTGTTATCACCCACATTAACTCTTACTAATGTTTTGTATGCACCTGAATTCCATGTAAACCTTATCTCAGTATCCAAACTTTCTAATTCCCTTAACTGTTCCATGACATTCCTTGAAAATTGTTGTGTTATTCAGCAGATAAGTACCCAACTGATGATTGGTACTGCTGAGCTCAGGAATGGGCTCTATATGATAGTCAACAGCGTGGTTGATAACAACCAGCACATTGGTACTCTTCATGGAATAAAGTGCAATGCTGTCAATAAAGATGACTCCACCTTGTGGCATCAACGACTGGGTCACATCTCAGAAGATGTTTTACGCAATATTTCTCAGCAATTTCCTTTCATACCCTGTATTCACCCAAACCCTTGTGACATATGTCACCTAGCTAAACAGAGGAGACTACCTTACTGTACAAGTATTAATAAAAGTAGCAAAGTGTTTGAACTTTTGCACGCTGACATCTGGGGTCCATACTCTATAGCTTCAATACATGGCCATAGATATTTTCTCACATTAGTCGATGACTTCAGTAAATTCACTTGGATTATCTTGATGAAAAACAAAACCGAAACACGCATGCACCTACAGAATTTCATTGCTTTTACTGAAAACCATTTCAATACTAAGCTTAAGAACTTACGCAGTGACAATGGCCAGGAGTTTCTCATGCGTGAGTTTTACCATAAAAAGGGCATTTTGCATCAAACCAGTTGTGTAGAGTGTCCTCAACAAAATGGGATTGTTGAACGTAAGCATCAACACATCTTAAATACAGCTCGTGCACTTTATTTTCAAGCCAAACTACCAAGCAATTTGTGGAGCTATGCTGTCACCCATGCTGTCCATTTGATCAACAAAGTTCCCTCTCCCAACCTTGCCCAAAAATCACCCTTTGAGCTGTTACATAGAATTGCTCCCACTCTTACCCATCTCAAAGTGTTTGGATGTCTTTGCTTTGCCTCCACACTTCATTCCAATCGCACAAAGTTCTCCCCTAGAGCACGAAAGGCAGTGTTCATTGGCTATAAAGAAGGTACTAAAGGTTATCTTTTATATGACCTTATTTCCCATAGCTTATTTTTGTCCCGAAATGTTACATTTTATGAAACCTAATTTCCCTTTCACGAAACACTACAACCACATACCACTCCCTTCCCAATACCAATCCCACCAACTTATGACACTGACATTCCTTTACCAATTACCCAGATTCCAGAACCATTACCCTTCAATCCATTACCAGCATTACCATCACAACCTACCAGCATTACTATCCCACCATATACCACTACCATCAATCCTCATTCTCCTGCTCTTCGACGTTCAACACGTGACAAGGGGCCACCACGTTATCTTGTTGACTATCATTATGGCCTTTCCACAGCTCACCATACCAAATCACATACAGGTACTTCCTCACTCACTACTCCTTACCCTTTCTCTAATTTCTTATCATATGATTCTTGTTCACCCCATTATAAATCCTTTTGTCTTAATGTTTCTGTTCATTCTGAGCCTCACACTTATACTCAAGCTCTCAAATCTGAGAACTAGAAAAAGGCAATGGATGCAGAATTAGTTGCCCTCAATCAAAATAACACTTGGTCCATAGTAGATCTTCCACATGGTAAACACCCCATTGGCTGCAAATGGGTGTACCGCATCAAATATAAATCAGATGGCTCCATTGAACGATATAAGGCGCGCCTAGTGGCCAAAGGCTTCACTCAGTTAGAAGGTGTTGATTACTTGGATACCTTTTCGCCTGTAGCAAAGTTAACTTCCGTACGCACTCTGTTAGCCATTGCAACAGCCAAGGGATGGTTCCTTGAGCAATTAGATGTGAATAACGCCTTCTTGCATGGTGATCTTCATGAGGAGGTATACATGCAAATGCCCCCTGGTCTCTCCTCTACACGGCCAAACCAAGTTTGCAAACTCCTCAAGTCCATTTATGGCTTAAAGCAGGCAAGCCGTCAATGGTACTCCAAACTTACCTCTGCCTTATGCTCTCTTGGCTATCTTCAAGCTCAATCAGATCACTCGATGTTCACCTTATCTACTGGTTCATCGTTCACAGTACTCCTCATCTATGTCGATGAAATTGTGCTTTCTGGCAACGACATGGATGAAATCAATCGTCTTAAAGGTTTTCTGGACAGCAAGTTTAAGATCAAAGACCTTGGGTTTCTCAGATTCTTTCTTGGCCTTGAAGTTGCACGCTCCAAAACTGGAATCCTCCTCAATCAACGAAAATATGTGTTAGATATACTCTCTGATGAAGGTATGCTGGCAGCTAAACCAGCATCCACTCCTATGGAGTCCTCAACGAAATTTTCTCATGACAATGGTGTTCCTCTTGCTGATCCCTCACCTTATCGAAGACTTGTTGGTCGCTTGCTTTATCTTACCACCACTCGACCCGACATCTGCTTTGCCGTACATCAACTAAGCCAGTTTGTTTCTCGTCCATTTGATGTTCACTTAGCAGCAGCAAAACGAGTTCTTCGGTACTTAAAAGGAGTTCCTTCTACTGGTCTATTTTTCTCCTCTCAATCTGATCTCACCATATCTGCATTTGCTGACTCGGACTGGGCATGCTGCCCTGATACGCGCAAATCCATAACTGGATATTGTGTCCTTATTGGTACCTCTCTTGTCTCTTGGCGCTCAAAGAAGCAATCAACCATTTCCCTTTCATCTTCTGAGGCGGGATACCGGGCTCTTGCAAGCTTGACATGTGAGCTACAGTGGCTGCAATATCTCTTCAACGACCTTCACATACCTTGGCTTCGACCTGCCTCCGTGTTCTGTGACAGTCGATCTGCCATTTACTTGGCCAAAAATCCTACATTCCATGAGCGTTCCAAGCACATTGACATTGATTGTCATGTGACACGTGAAAAGCTTCACTCTGGTTTACTCCATCTACTTCCCATCTCTAGCTCATTGCAACTTGCTGACATTTTTATTAAACCATTAGCCCCATCACTGTTCTCTGGTTTCCTCTCCAAGCTGAGTTTTCTTAACATACACACTCCAGCTTGCGGGGGGGTATTACACCCACATACAAGCTCCCACGTATCAAAGCCATACAGCAGTGCAGATATACTTCCAACTCATTCTCCACGTGACCCAACTAATCACCAAAGAATAGAAACTGATGTGGCAGATGCAGTTAATCCGTTAACTTCATAGATAGAGTTAGTTAGATTCTGTTGTAGATTAGTTTGTTTACTTTATCAGTATTTACTCAAGCTGATGTTGTATATAAAGACTTCAGCCTTGTATTATTCTTCATAATAGTGAATTCAATGAATATTCACAAGTTCAATAGATGATGTCAGCACCAGCCCGTCGGAGGCACAATAGTGACTCCATCATAACTTTTTCTTCATCAATCATTTTGAGCGCACCGCCAGCTTTTATCATTGAGTATTCACCAGAAACCTATTCCATCAATTAAGAAGGTTTATGAGAAAAAAGGGAACATGATACAATAAAGCAACAGAAACATGTTTTCAAACTATTCAGAACTATTTCTTCTCATTCACATAAAAGTATATTGGGGTTTTCTTTTATTCACATAAAAGTGGAACTTTATGCATTAAACGTGAAAATTGGTTAAACTTCACAGGGGTTGTTTATAAGGGTTTAAGGTTTGTCCATTAAATCTAATCCTCCATTTAACAGTTTCACTGTTTACCTAAGTTGATTAATGATGGGAGTTATGTGTAATAAAACAAGCTAAACTTGAGGGGTTTAATCTTTATTTGAACAGAAAATAAAGATTTCATTAACCTCGGTGAAGGATTTCATTGATGGGAAAACATTCCAAAACCGCAGTGTCTCATCCCCAGCACCAGTTACTATTGTCTGCAATTGTGTTCCACATAAAATTAAAAAATGATGTAATAAAAGAGTAATTTATTTTTATAACATAAAAAGGAAGCATGTTATGTTGACCATAAGTACCTGACCATCAGGAGACATTGCAAGGTATAGCACTCGCATGCTGTGACCAGTTAGAGTTGCAACCTAATCAAAATTTGTCCATAAGGTTAAGACATTTATTTTCTGGTTAGGTAACACTTAATTTCTTCTGGTTGGAATTTCTCTAAAATATCTAGAAATGTCCAAATTACCTTTGCCAGTGAAGGATATTTCCACACCATAATCTGATTTTGGGAGTATCCATGAGTACTTACTAGCTCATTTACATTTTTACTCCAAGCAAGGTTGCAGACCTGCAGATAATGCAGCATTAAATTAGATTGCTGAGATGCTTTCTTTGTCTGAATTTGGATTCTTGTTATGCAAGTCTCAGTGGACAAAAAAAGAGATAAGAAACAAAACCTGGCTCTCAGTGTCAACACAGTTCAATTGATGGCCATTTGTAGTGTTCCAGAAACGAATACACCTATCAGCAGTTCCACCTCCAGATACAAGGAGGTTGCTTTGATGAGGTGACCAAGCAATAATAATTAATGATAACATGAACAAGTTCCACCTCCAGACTACAAATACTACAAATACTCCAAGGACCATTCCTCCAAATTTTGCTCCAATTTCAATAATACCAGTTCAACTCAGAGATGGTAACATGAACAAAATCACTAATGTCTTGCCTCGACTAATGGGGGAATTTAATGCATTAATAATTAATGATATGGTAACAAAATAGAGGCAAAGAAAAGAAATCCAAAGACAGAATATAAATCCAAAGACAAGAAATCCAAACTCAATAAAGTAACTGGTATATTGATAGCACAAAGTTTGCTGTTGTTATTCAGTCTATCAATATTCAAGGACCTTCAGAAGTCAGAACTATAATACCGCATCACATAAAGACCTTAAATGTGAATAACGCATCACATTTTCCAGTGGAAATGTACTTGAGTCAGTGCAATATTGATGCATGGACGGTTAAGTGGGTTCTGCTCAGGACTTTTAGCATTATTTGCTTTTTGATGGGATTGTTCACTCTCATTGGATCCATTGAAGGGGTAGTAACTGCAAAACTAGGCTGAGAAGCTTTAAGACCTTTTGGAAGTTGAAACAGAAGAATTAGATTATGGTAGCACTTTTTAATTTGAAAACCAACATTAAACATAGGAGTAGCTTCTTAGTTACCCAATTTTTATAGTAAACATAAAGAATTATGCGTGGGACAATGATGAATTTAAGGTTCTGTTGCTCAGGTCTTCAAGATTGTAGCAGTAAGATGTGTAATTGAGTTGAAGATGCTTAAAATTGCGTTTGTTTCTTGGAATAATCTTAAGAACTAGTTAGTTTCATCTGTAATACTGAAAAGTAGCTGTTAAGATTCAAATTGTTGTCATGAAAGCACAAAGTTGAGCAGGTCTGTTTTTTGAAGCTGGAACCACACCTTCAGTTTACTCAGACTTGAGACCTGAGTTAGGTGTCCTCTACCAGAATAAATGAAATCCGCTTCCACTTTCATTGTTTGGGAAAAATCTCAGCTTCACATGACCTTTTAAGTTCTTTTTATTTTCTTATTGAAAGTTTCATTAATAAACAATAAAGGGAACTATAATGACAGTATCATTAAATGGGGTGAGTTGCACATCAGACTCTAATTTTCAGAGGTTTAATGAGATGACCAAGGGAATTTTATATAATTTGGTGAGTCGTTAACACCAGGACCCTAAATACCCCTACAATGCTCTTACGCGTTGAAATGTTCTCAAAAGACTATCTATCACATGTGGTAGCCAGAATCATAGTTATATCAAGTAATCTAGTTCTCAAAATTTATGGAGAAATGTTGTGTAGCTCCAAAGTGAAGTGCATCATCCCCTACGTGGGAGATCGGATCCACCTCACTCCTCTCTTCCCATGTTCTCTTGTGCTACGTGGCCTAGAAGAGTGGCCATATTGAAACTCGACAACTAGGACTTTACTCAAGAAAGACTCAGACACCGCACGTGAAACAACCTTGACATCTGCAACGTTAGATAGAATCTAACCTTGCCATTCTTCCTCTGAAGTGAGGTCAGGTGGTTTTGTGTGATCAAAGCAGAAACCTACCCAACATATGAATTAAGCACACAAACTATGAGTAAAAAAGGGTCAACAAAGAGAGAGAAAGAGAGGGAGATGTTGACCGAGCATCTTGTGGGTGAGCTACCTGCCTATCTCACACGCTCAATGGCGTTGAATTCTTTAATATAATCATGCGGTTGTTATTGTTATTCAGAACTATAATAACGCATCACATTTAAGGTAACTGGTATATTGATAACACAAATTTTGCTGTTGTTATTCAGTCTATCAATACAACTATAATATTCAAGGACATTGAAACATGCTTAACTTTTCACATCACACACACACACACACACACGCATGCACATAGGAGAAAGAGAAGAAAAGGAGAGAGAACACTGATTTGAAGACATATTCGCCCATAGAAATAGAGAGTTTAAACTCAGAAGAAAAGGATTTTGGGAGCAAATTGACTAGGGGAGCTTTCATTTGCGGACCTGAATAGGTTTATTGAGCTTCCCAAATTTTCAGAAAGGTTTAGTCCCACTCATGAAAGGTGCCAAGTCAAGTATTTCAGGATCTTATCTATATGGTTCTCCGAATGCTGAACGATTATTTGGTTGTATTCTTCCAGGGAATGTCTAATTTCTCAAAGCCATAAAAAAATCTGTATAATTCTGTATAGAGTACTCATAAAATGGAGAATAGGCTTACTTTTTCTTAAGTATAATTCTGTATAGGACACCTGTACTGATGATATTGAAGTTCTTTAATATCTGATAGCCTGGAGCGTCTACATATGCAAAGATGTAATACTGCCATAAAAATTGAAAAGAAAATACAATCAGATTTCAGAAAGCATTAAATATCTGTTGCAATACCAAAGTTGTGGAATAATCCCATTGTCACCATAACAAACATAACCATCCATCACCAACCTGAAGCAAATTTTTGACAAGGATAAAGTGCTGCTGGAATAGGATACACTATAACTTCATCTAATGTTGTAGTCCACCTAGGTTCAAGGCACAATATACATCAAGTTATTTAAAGTCATTCTCTATCAATAACCAACAAGCAAAAGGATAAAGCTTCAATGAAAAGATGAAGTTGCAATACCAGAACATCAACAGGACAATTTAAGTGAACCCAATGGCCTACTCAAAAATAAAATAAAAATTTACAAAGCCATGAATCATGTCGTTGTTTATTGAAAATTTTCATGAACCAACCCTAAATTCTATTCCTTCTACCTGTCCATACACATTTGGAAAATCTCTTGTAACCATTTCAATACGAATTCCCAATTACACAATCCTTCGTAAAGCCATAAGATTAAAAGTGAACAAAGAATTTAAATAAATTAAGGCACTTCAATGTGAGTTTTTTCTTATCTTTTTCAAATTGTAGTATTTTTATCCTGATTGATTCCAGGATATAACAATAGAATTAAAAATTATCTAATATATTTCTTCCAGGGTTAGATTGAAAATACGGATTTTGCTAGAACCCAACAATGTCAATCAATCCGTGTAGCCAAATCCACCTAGTAGGATAAGCCTTGGTTGGTTATCAATGCATTTCAAATTATTACTTATTACCAATACCTATTCCAGCATACACATTCTGAAAGGCTTCAATTCAATTCATAAATACAAATATATTCAAAGCACCAAACCCACGCATTGCCATGTAAAACTTTTAATCACATTGAGAAAGAAAAAAAAAACTTCTGAAAAAAAAAATTATAAATAAGAAAGCCGAGTAACACCTCGTCAAAGAACTGAGACCGGTCCTTCTTCAACAACCCATACACCAATCCTTGTTGCATGTCCTGTTTTTGCTACACTAGCATGGCACTCAACACTTCAACTGGGACACTCTTCAAACTCCAAACTCAGAAATCAACACTTTCCATGAACCAACACCAGAACTAGCACGAGAAAGACCTTTCCTTTGTAGGTTCCTAGATTAACATCAGCGAGATTCGATACTTAAGAGAATTATAGTTAGATGATTGAGACGGTGAATTTAGGGTTCATGAGGGAAGAAAAATACGCTTCGATTAGGAACGATGAGTTGTGTCGCATAAATGGGTTGGTTTGGATCGACCTGATTACAAATCAGGTTTGAAACGGTTCTGAATTGGATTGTTTTAAAAAATAAAACCGGTTCTAGTTTTTGAACTTGTTTAAAATAACCGGTTATTTTGGTTCAGTTTGGTGCGGTTCTCAATATGGTTCAGTTTTTTTAAATTTTTTGCACATCCCTAGTCACAATATCAAGAAAGGACTATGGCATCGTACTTTGAATCCAACTTGATGCTAGCCTACGACTAAAATTTAAGGGGGTTTGGAACAGACAAATAACGCGTAGGTCCCAGCAATATTAGGTGAGGCCTTGATGGGACCACTAGATGGTGCACCCTGTGCCTGAAGGTTTGTCTGTGAAGGAGGATTAATTTCGGGATGCTAGAGGTGTCTGATGGTTGTGACTGGTATATTGCTGATGCCAGTGAAATGGGCATGATGCAAAGCGCCTTTTATTGAAGAAAACTGCATGGCAGCCCCAAAATTTTCTTCAATTAGCTTAGCTACCTGCCTTTCTGTGCTATCATTTGACCACTTCTCCCAAGTTGGTTGGAACTCTTGTTTATGTTTTGCTATTGTCTTCTTTGATAATGGTTTTCGCCACCCCTCTTAATAATCAAGTGTGCCTGATTTTGAAATTTTTTCTTGAGCTCTAAAAGTTTGCTACTTCCTCTTGAAAAAACTACAATTTCAATCTCTAAAGTTGTGTTTGATTAAGTTTTTATGAAATTTTTAGCCTAGTTACTAAATTTTTTTAGTCCAAAATTAATTTTTTTAGCCCAAAATTACATATATATACTAAAAAAAAATCTAAAAATCAAGGAGGGGCGGTGGCCAACCCTAGCCCCTCCTCTGAATATATTAATATTTTATGAGATAATTTTATCTCTTATATGCGTATAAAAGTATGTATAGCCTATGTGAAGTTATATGAAGAGAATATATATATATATATATGGGATAGGATATTGTGACAACCAAGTTAGGTTACTATCACTGTTTACTACCAATAGTTTCACTGTTAGATTAGTTTTTTGATCCGACGGTCCTGATTTTTTTTTTTTATTTGATCCTTATATACCCTCTTTCTTCCCATTTTCTCTCTTCCATTCTCTATCTGACTATATAATCTGCTGCCGCCGCCGCTTCCCATTGCCAACGTTGCGCAGCTATCACCACTGCTGCGCCGCCGCACTCTACCGCCACCGCCGCTATTCCATTCCTAATTTTATATTTAAAATTTCTAAATCTTAAAATTCTGCAATTAATCACAATTATCATGAAAAAGGGAAACTGGGACACGCACCTGGTCTTTATTCATGTTCAGAAAAATTAAGATCGGCGCTTATCATATAAAATTAAGATAACAAGTTTAGAAAATTATGAATTGCACAGTTAGGGTCTCGGTGATGGTTCTAAGATTGGCGCTTATCATATAAAATTAAGATCACAAGTTTAGAAAATTATGAATTGCACACTTAGGGTCTCGGTGATGGTTCTTTGGGGAAAAGAAGAAGAGATTCCATTTCTGACAAAATAGATAAATTTCGATAAATATTTAGAAATTTTAAATATAAAATTAGGAATGGAACAGCAGCGGAGGCGGTAGAGTGCAGCGGCGCAGCGGTGGTGATCGGCAGCTGCGCGGCGTCAGCAATGGGAAGCGGCGTAGGTGATGAGCGGCGACGGCGGCGACATATTGTATAGTAAGAGAGAGAAGGGAAGGGAGAGAAGGAGGAAGAAAGAGGGTATATAAGGATTAAATTAGGAACGTCAGATCAAAAAACTAATCTAACGGTGAAATTATTGGTAGTAACATTGGTAGTAATCTAACTTGGTTGTTACAATATCCTATCTCATGTATATACATATATATATATATATATATGGGTTAGGATCCTTTGACACCGGTGTCAAATTTTAATTTTGACACCTCATCTGAGAACCGTTAAATCAAAAAAGATCAACGATGTTACATGCTTGCAAATTAGAGTCGTTGATCTTTTCTTTTTCACAAGTGATTATGGTCAAATAACATAATCACATGACCACTTTTTCACATCAGAGAATTCACTCTCCTATCACACCTACCTCATTTCTTCCCAATATGAAATTTTTTATCACTCACGTTTAAATTCTCAAGAGTAAATACCAAAATGCCACATGAATTAGAATGGTATGGTACGATCAATAATTCTATTTTTTTATTAATAGATGGCATCATTCCATGTAGTGCTAGTAAGGGAGTTAATTTTTAATATTCCTACATTCCATTTTTTTTTTTAATTTTTGTCATAATTTTTCCCTAATGGAATTAGACTAAAGAATTTTCATATCTGTTTCTTCGTTATGTTTGACCAAAGAGCAGAAAAAATGACAGTCTCTTCCAGTTTCTGTACATATTTTTTTCTTTTTAAAACCGCAACGGCATGATGAGAGGAATCGATTGTTTATTTCCATGGATAATCAAACCGCCATACATAGGCGGTCATACAAACAAATGAGTAGGACATGGCTTGTAGTATAAATATAGAAGCCAAAATTTAGTTTTGATCATCATTTTATATTCTAATTGTTCATATTATTCAAATAATGACTTGAGAATAGAAGTGCCTTACAGGTAGGAATGTTCGCAGTCTGGATTGGATCAATTTTGTTTTGGAAATAAAAATTATCCGATCCAATCCCTTCGCTTTGATCATAAAATCATCCATTCGGTTTTGATTTTTTTTTCCAAATCCGATCCAATCCAATTTTTTTTGGTTTGAATTGGATTGATTTTCGGTTTTTTGAAAATCCTAAATTATTTCATGATTCTTATGCAAATAACATCTTTTGTATATATTGGTTTTGTAATTTTATTTTTTTTTGAAATATAAAAACATTAGTAAACTATAATATAATTTTTTTTTTTGGCAATGAGATATGAAGCTCTACAAAGATAAAATTTTGTTGATGAGATGTGACTAGATTTTTTCTTGAAATTAGTTGATGAGTTAATAGATTTTGAGTTTAAAAATTTTTAAGCTATAATCAGGGAGAGACTCTATTGAAGTAGTCTTAGGGACAACTCAAAAACTATCTTATATGTATATAATTTTGACTCCCTAAAGTAAAGTAAGCCATACTTTTTTTTTTTGTACCCCAATCTCAATATTCGACTTTATATTTCATAATATATATATATATATATATATATATATATATATATATATATATATATATATAATATTTATACTTTTTTAAAAATTTTAAAATGACTTCATTTTAAAATCAAAGAATTGTTTACCAAAAAAAAATCAAAGAATTTTTTATAATTATAATTTATTTTATATAATATTAGTCTTCATCATAAAAAAAAAAGCTTTATTATTTTTTATAAAAAAAAATTTATACATTTTTTCTGAATAAAATTATATTTTGGATTTCTCAAATCATGTTAATACACTTTTTAATATATATTAGTATTTAATATTTCATATATCGTAGAAAATAAAATAATCTTTTATTCACGTTAAAAAAAAACATGAGATGACGTGAAAGAAAAAGGAAAAGAGAAAATATGAATCGAGATAATTTTAATATTTTATAGTACCCTATATTTTTTTTTTTTTTTTTTTTTTTATAACAAGTACCCTATATTTTAAGGCAAAATTGAAATAGCACAAATATGTATAGTACCGCAGTTGCATCGAAAAAAAATACAGAGAGATTGGAATGAAGGTAGCTCCCATCGTAGTGTTTATGTTCAGAGACACAGAGGGATTCGCCTCTGCCATCTCAGAAGCTCTCCACCCTAACCCTTCCTCCTCCTTCTCCCGCCTGTAATTTTTCTTCTTCTTCTTCTTCTTATTGAAAGGTGTTAAATTTTTCTTTGCTGAAGGAGGGTCTTCAATTTTGATGGTTGTTACTTTTTTCTTTTGTTGCAGAGAGGACTCATTTGAGTTCCCCTTGGAGGGTTATGGAATCAAAGACCTCAAAGCATCTGGCGACGTTTTTCACTATGTTGATAATCAGGGCATATACCAGGTCCTCCTTTTTTTTTTGTTCACTGTTGTTGGGGATGTTTTCTCTAATCTTCTCAAATAGATGTAGTTCATTTAAGCAGAAAAAAAGATACCCATTTGGTTGAAATGGAATTGATAATAAGTACAAGACACCCATTTGGCTTCCCTGTTGACCTATACTTCAATTTTAGAATCCCAGTCAATGTTGGGATTAAAGAAACCCCCTTTGGTCTGGGATGTAACGAGAATGCAACCTAATTATAAAGAGAAGCATGGAATAGTGTTAGAAACTAATACATCAATACAAGATCAAATATACAACATAAACTAATTGAGTTTAATTTTTTTGAAAAGGACTATATAACAGCTTGAGCAAGCTGGTGGAGATGAACTGATGTTTATTTTTTGTTCCTTTATTATGATATATTAGTCATAATTATGAATCTATTCCATGTACCTATCATAAAAATGGGCCATTTTGTTCTTGACAAAACGAAACACCGGAATAGGAATGGTCATGTAGCAGAAGCACATATATTAATATGAGTATTGTATCTGGTATAATAGGGATCTGGGGATACAACATACTACATAAATGTTTTCTGCCATTTTGAAGTATATGTGCTTCTGAGGACAATTTATTCTAATCCATTCTGCAAAATTTGATTCCTTGTACCCAACATGCTTTAAATCTGGATTTTTGAATTTTATATTTAATATATTATTTTCCTCTATTCTTATTCCATGATGCCAATGCATTTTATCTTGAGATTGTGTCACATCTCATAGACCTTTAAAACGAAAGAATTTTGAATCCTCCAAACATATTTTGTTTTACCTTCAAATATTGGAGCTGAAATTTGGGTATAAGTAAAGATGGTTGGCGGTTATTCGGTATAAAAATAGTTCTAAGGTTGTGGACTAGACTGCAATGAACTATGGTACTATTGGTGGATAAAATAATGAATATAAATACCAGTGCTTAAGGACAGGAGATTGAGCCAATGAGATTTACTTTTTCTCCCAAACAACAGCTTTAGTTTTTTCCTTTCTAAAGATAGAGTTTAATATTTATGACGAGTTATTCACTATCATATATTCTTCTGGTTTTGTTTGATACTCTCTTACTTGAGGGCATAGCTTTTTAGATCTTTGTTCAAGTTGTTTCTATGTTACAGATGTAACACTTCAACTTATACGACTATGAAATCTAGTATTTTCTTTAAATTGGATTAATTTCTCGACTGTGATTGGCTTTCTGAAAATATTTGTAAGCTGCTCCTTGATTTTGTAAAATATTACACAATTTCATCTTTTATTAATGAGCCCTTCAATTAAATAATATCAAATTTCAATATATATTTTTTTATTTGGTAATTGGGACATCATTCCCAATTACCAAGAGCTCGACATAAAAAGAGGTAGAGGTAGACCGAAACTTACCTGGGGAAAGGTAGTTAAACAAAACTTAATGGAATGGGATATAGATTGGCGGACGGTGTGTCTTAGGATGGAATGGAGAAAAGCTATAAGCAGGGTGGAAGGTTAAATCCGTTGTTATTCCTATGTTCCAGAAAGTCCCTTTTTAGTCCTTCTTCATCCCCCCTCTCTTTCTTTTCCCCTTCTTGTCTTTTATCTTATTTCCCCCTTCCCTAATTTTTATTTTTATTTATTTATTAATGTATTTATTTATTTTTATTTTATTTTTATTTTTATTTATTTATTATAATTATTATTATTATTTTTTTTTTTTATTTTTTTTTTTTTTTTTTAATCTCTTCTTATTTATCATTGGGGTCATCTACCACCGACCCCAATTAGCTTGGGTTAAAGGTGTTGTTGATGTTGATGTAATTGGGACATCATTATTTTAACCATCTTTCAATCTATGGCAAGAGTGGAAGTAATTTTTTAATAAATACTCCATCTTTTTTCTCTTTCTCATTTTGCAAAAAACTAGCATTGCATTTCATTTCAAAATTAAAAATTCCAAATACCAGCAGTGGTGGACTTATTTTCACAGACCCGTAGCTAGTTTCTACTAATTTGAATGTATATTTATTTACTATTATCTATTAATGATGGTGCTGATAGCTTGCTACTTGCAATTCTTCTTCTCTACTAATTTTGTCTTATTTTAAAACTATTACTTTGAGCAAGTAAGTATGCAATTGCAAAGATGTTAATGGTTAAACCCTTTCACATTAAGATTGAAGATAAATTCTTATCCTTACTCTTTAGTCTTCCTGCTAGAGATAAATCTGATTCTGTGAAGAACTAGCATTACATTTCATTTCGAAATTAAAAATACCTATTGGCAAGAGTGATGAAATATTCTTTCAGAGACCTACAACTATTTGCTATTACTCAGTAGCATGTATACTGATTCATTTGTTACAAACTATCCATTAATTTTGGTGCCAATGATTTGCTACTTGCAGTACCGCTTTTCTGATAGTTTTCTCTTTGGAGTTCCTACTCCGAGCAATTAGATTTAAAACATATTCATGGTTAAACTTCAACTTTACAAATTATCTTCCCAAGATAATTTGTTATCCTTGTGCTTTAATTGTCTTTGTAGACCAACATATGATTCTGTTAAACTCTTCATATCCAGGTGTCAATCGTGGTTATGCAGCATTATGAGCCACCGGTACTAGCATGTGCTCTCAATGAGGTACTCAAAGAAATTGCTGGAGATAAATCATCCTTGATGCCTACACTTTTGGTACCATTTTTGGTGGCATCATCCAAGGTTAAAGGGCAAATTAAATCCCTAAAAGCAGATGAAAGGAAGGCTTTAATTTTTGGCATACAGACTGGTCAAAGTACAGACATAATGCAGGCCTTACTCACCAAAACCCAGGAGCCACCATCTTCATTGTGGATTCAGCATGAAAGTTTTGCATGTTTTCTTCACTTTGTACGCGTAATGAAGTTACCAACCTTTTTTCTAGTTGGACAAACTAGTCAATATTTGGACAATAGATCTACCAAACAGCATGAGGTATTCATTTTCCTTATCACTTTTAAAGCACATGATCTAATTTGATATCCATAAAAAAATGTCCATTATTTGGATAATGGTTGGCCTCAATTGATATTGTATTATTATCTAGCAACCTTCCTTTAAAATAAACCCGGGGGGAACTGTTAACTCTTCTATTTTCATTTTACAACACTAAAAATAACGTTTTTGGCTTCCTTTTTCTTCTACAATAAATGGGGTATGCTCAACAGCTAATTTTTGTGGTTTGTGCTAGACAATTCATGTAATAGGTGAGATTTTGGCTAGCAGTACTGGTCTGCAGTTTTCAGAAGACAGAGTGATATGGAACCCAAAGAAAACATCAAGGGAGAGCAAGGAGCCATGGCGCGCATTATATGGTTGAATCTTGGGTCATTTACATGCAATCATGGAACCAGTGTTTCCGTGGGTCTGATTCTCAGAACCATTGATCTTTTCTGTGCTAACTGTTTCCTTAAACATTATATAAGTTTTTTTATTTTATTTTTTAAACTTATTTTCTTGTTACCTCATCGAAGTATCCGAGTCTCTTTTAATGTGTGTCAATGGGCTGAATGGCGCCATAGCATGTAGCTGCATGCTTTTCGTGCACATGTGGGGTTTATTTGTATTTCACCTTCTGGACAAAGGCTTCACTAAATAGGTTTAACTGTTTCAACCACCCATCACATTACATTCTCATTGGGTCATTGTGTTGCTTTGAGTAACGGGAGACGATAGTTTCACTGTCTATATTTTGGTAATGTGAGGTTTTCGAAAAACAAGATTCTATGATGATTATGAATGACTTCAGGATACATAGTTGTTTTAGAGATGTGGCCTTCTTTTAATTATAAGAGCTAATGTTTATAATTTTTTGTTGGTTGCTCCTCAGAATGAACATTCACGTTGACAATTTCAGTTTTTGCTTTTTCTCTTTCAAAATTGATGCAAAGATGGGTTTGTAAATTTATTAAGTTACTTTACACCCATTTGTTTTTTCTTCATGAGTTGGGATGTTGCAAACTAGTCAAGAAGTTAAATTATCTTATTGTAATAAGATCAAATATCTCTTTTGCATTTAGTTGATTAGCCAATTACTTGATTCTCTTGTGATTTCTATTGGGACGTTGTTGTCAGCTATGTAGCACCGATACGACACGCGACACGTGACACGACACGACACGACACTCCGACATGTCAATCCTAAAAAATTATAGATTTTGACACGTTGGGACACGTTTTAATATTAAATAATATTTTTAATTTTTATAGTGTATATTTCATTTAATATTTAATAATTTAACAAAAAAATGAAACTAAATTAATAATACTCATCAACACGTTATAAAGATGGAAGCTTTAATAAAAAAAATAAGAACTGGGATGAGAGAGAGACATAATATCAGATAGAGAGATCAAATCATATTAGAGAGAGATCAGAGAGAAGAAGATACAACAAGAGCGTGATAGGAATTGACAACAATGATGCTGAGATGATCTCTTATCTACTTAAGGGGAAAAAAGAAAAAAGGAAAAAATTGATATGATCAGGTGAAAGCTTTATTAATATATTTTAACTTTTAAAAAAAAAATTAAAAAAAAAATTAAAAAAATTAAAAAAAATTTACGAAAATGTCATTTGACCGTGTCGGACACGGTCAAATTCGCGTGTCGGAATGGTCAACGTGTCGGAAAAAGTCAACCGCGTGTCCGACACCGTGTCGGAGCGTGTCGGACCCGACTCTTCCTGTTTTTACAAGTGTCCGTGCTTCCTTGGTTGTCAGAATGCTTTGATACATAAAAAAAAGCACTAGGAAAACGATAATTACGTAAAGATAAGAGTCATGTTGAGGTTTGTAGCTACTTAGATGCTGATTAGTCATGTTCTTCGTTAGATGTTAGATAGACAGTCTACTTTGGGCTACTATGCTCTATTTAGGGGAAATCTAATTTGTTAGAAAAGTAAGAAGCAAACATCGATAGCCTTGCTAAGTGGAGAGACTGAGTTTTGAGTAATGGAAGTTACAACCTACGAGCTTATTTAATTAATTCTGAAAGACGTCTTTATGAAACTAATTTGTGACAAATAAGCAGTGTTACACATTTGTTCTAACATGATCTTTCATTAGAGGACAAAGCATATCAAAATTGAGCCACTTCATCTGATAAAAGATTCAGTCTCGAGAGACTTAGACAATATTTGTCAATTTCAATAATCAACTTGCAGATATTTTCATAAAAGCTCTTAGAGATCTCTGAGCAAACTATATTTATTGCAAGTTTGACGAATATGATACATACATCCCAGCACAAAGGACAAATGTTGTAAATATTGTAATTATATGTAATTATTAATTTTCTTATTTTATCATGATTTGAATTTATCCTTTAAACCAATTAGTCTTCTATATATCATAGCCATTTGTATATGTTCAATAACAAATTTCCTCAACTGTAAGTCAGACAAAATAAAAAATAAATCTCCTAAGATAAGGATAAAGACACCCTAAAAAGTAATTAAATATAATATACTATTAACCAATTACAACCACTTAGTATATAATCCTAATTACATAAAATAAAAATAAAAATAAAAATGAAATTTTAAACTAATTTGCACCATAGTTAACAATAGTGTACGATACATAATATGTATGATATGATATGATATGATAGAATTCACAAGCACATCGATACATATTGAGAGATGTATCAAAAAGAGATTGTATCGGACGATACGATATCGTAACGATACGAAAATAAAATACTTTTTTTTTTTAATTTTTAGTACAAAATAAAAATAAAGATTTGATTAATGATTTAAATTAAAAAAAATTAAAAAATTATTATTAATAAGGAAAATAATATAAAGATTTGATTTGTAATATAAATTCAAAAATAATCTAAAAAATCTGTGTTAATAAAAAAATTAAACAAATATTCAAATCTTTACTGTCTTTAAAATAAAAAAATTAATATATTTTTAAAAGTTGGATTTATACGATATTAATATATTTTAAATTATTTTTTATTATATTTTTGTATCTTACGATTTTGATGTGATTCACGAAATACAATACAAAAATCAGCTAAACAATACACAATACACATTGTGATTCAACGACCTTGGTCTACACTAAATTTGGACTGCATAAAGCACCAAAATTGGAGGGGGGAAAAACTAACCGGCTGTGTATAGGTTGAAAATATTAATAAAAAATGGCTCTAAAATTACCCCAAATTATGGGGCAAATCATTACTGTATTATTAAGGTGGATCTTGGATCCATTTTTTCACAATTTGGATCAAATTAATGTTTTTTTGTTCAAGACTTGGACCATGTCCAATGGGAGATATGTTGACTTGTGAACAAACTTCTTGAGTCTAACCATTAAATGCTTCCTTGAGTTCCTTCGCTTGAGCTCTTATAATTGGAACAATTGGGACTTGAACCGAATCCCTGACCAAATCAAACCGAGAACCCTTTCGATTTTCACTTTCAACCCAGCTCTTGCCAGGCATCTTCTTAACCCCTCTATCTTCCATCAACTTCCTGATCTCCAGAGCATCATTCCATCTACCAACTGCTCTATAAATGTTACCAAGCAGAACGTAACTTAAATGGAAGTCAGGTTCCAGCTTAATCATCTTTCTTGCAATGCGTTCTGCAGTGATATAATCTGAACATTTTGTGCAAGCTCCAAGAAGAACTGCCCAAAGTGATTGATCATATCTGCAATCTGCATTCTCTAACAAATTTTCAGCCTCTTCTATTAGCTCAGCTCGGCCTAGAAGATCAATCATGCAAGTGTAATGCTCAACCCCAGGCTTAATCCCATATTCCCTTGTCATTGAAGCAAAATATTTTCTCCCTTCATCAACCAAACCCGTATGACTACAAGCAAATAGGACAGTGATAAAAGTGATATAGTCAGGCTTCATCCCCTCTTTGATCATGTCCTCAAATAAGGACAGTGCTTCTGTCCCTCTTCCATTCTGTGCAAATCCACCGATCATTGAGTTCCATGTTATCAAATTTCTAACCTGCATACTCAGGAACAATCTATGAGCAAAATCAATGCACCCACATTTTGCATACAGATCAACCAAGGCTGACTCTACTATAACATCTCTCCAACCACCCTTTCTTACATACTGGCAATGAACCTCTTTCCCTTGTCTGACAGCAGCCAGTGCCGAACACGCACGAAGAATAGTCCCGAAGCTGTAAATTTCTGCAACTCTCTTCTCCCTAACAAGATGGAGCACAGTTTCACAATCTCCATTTTGACAGTACACACTAAGCATAGCACTCCAAGACACTGAATTCTTATTGCCCAACCTATCAAAAACAATCCTAGAGTGGCGAACTGAGCCACATTTTCCATACATGTCCAAGAGACTACTCTCAACAACCACATTCCCACACATCCCTAAAGTAACAACTTTGGCATGCACCTCTTTGCCCTGTCTCAACCACCTCAAATTAGCACAAGCAGCCAACAATGTCCCAAACGTAAATCCATCCGGAGCCAACCCATGACCCCTATGCATAACATAAAAGAACTCCAAAGCTTCCTTAAACATATCATTCCGCGTAAACGCTGAAATAACTGAGGTCCAACACACCGCATCCGGTTCACGCAATTCATCAAACACTCGGCGTGCATCCTCGACCCCGCTATTCCTCCCATACATATCAATCAAAGCACTCAAAATAACATCATTTGAATCAAACCCACGATTTATAACCACCCCATGAAAGCATCTACCAAGTTTCAAGTCCCCAAGTTCAGAACAAGCCTTGATCACAGAAGACAAAGTGAACCCATTAGGCTCAACACCAAGACCCACCATTTCAAAGAACAATTGGAGAGAATTATGAGGCTCACCCACACGAACATACCCAGAAATCATGGAAGTCCAAGAGATAACGTCCTTCACGAAGAGGCCATCGAACATTCTCCGAGCCTCATAGAAATTTGGACCCAATTTGAAGTAGAGAGCGAGCAAGCTGTTCCCTACGAACCGATCGGTTTCTAGACCGGATTTGAGGACATGGGCATGGACTTGGGTTCCGTGGTTGAAGGAAGTGGTTTTGGTGCAGGTTTGAAGGAGAGAGGCGTAGATGATTGGTTTGAGTTGAAGGGTTGTTTGTGAAGTGTTGATAAGGTAGAGGGCTTCATGAAGAGCACCATCTTTGCAGTGTTTGAGGATAAGTGACTCTTTCCGTGATGGGTTAATGGAGTCTCTGATATTGGAAGCAAGGAAGCTGCAATGGCGCTTCAATTCGAGCTTCTTCATCGCAACAAATCAAAATGCACACGTTTAATATAAACTTCGTGAATTTCACATCGCATGTAGAGTTAACGAGGACGAAAAAAATGGTAATTGGGTTTGCTTCAAGTTATTGGAATCTTGTCTATGTAAATTAGTTTTTGAAAGGACAAAACTTTGATATCAAGTTAATAATTTTGGTAAGATAAATTTGTTAGTTTTGAACATTTTTTACTGATTAAAAAATGGTAATATCATTTCTTCTTTAGAAGCATATAAGTGATATCTGCCACTTAGAGAGAAACATAATGGACCGGCAAAAAAATTTAAATATTATTTTTTTAATAAATAATTACGTAAATATAATTATTTTGAAACTATTTACATAATTATAACAGGCAAAAAAAAATTAATTTATTGCTTTTTTAATAAAAAATTACGAATAAGTAATCGTTTTGAAATTAATTACGAAAATATAGTAGTCAAACACTCTCCATAGGGGCGTGACTGGTTGGAGAGAGACACGCCCAATGTTGGGAGTGACCTAAGCGTGACTCACGCCCACATGGCCGTAGGGGTGTTCATCAACTGATCCAAACCGATTCAAATTGCGATAACCGAACCGAAAAACCGATAACCGAATAAACCGAAAACCGAAAACCGAAAAAAAATCGCAAATTTTAATTGGATTGGATCAGTTTTTGGATGGGTTGATGAAAACCGATCCAATCCAAACCGATCCAATATATTAATTCTCCTTTACCTACTTGAGTCTTTCCCTAATCATACTTTAAAAATTTCTAAATCCAAGACCCATTATCCCATCAACTAAACCCAAAAAAATTTGTAGAGCTTCATATCTCATTGCCAAAAAAAAAATACTATATTATAGTTTACTAATGCTTTTGTATTTCAAAAAAAAAAATTACAAAGCCAATATATACAAAAGATGTTATTTGCACAATAATCATGAAATAATTTTAGGATTTTCAAAAAACCGAAAACCGATCCAATTTAAACCGAAAAAAATTGGATTGAATCGGATCAGATTTGAAAAAAAATACAAACCGAATGGATGATTATATTATCAAACCGAATGGATTGGATCATATGATTTTTGCTTCCAAAACTGATCCAATCCAGACCGCGAACATCCCTACACATGGAGCGTGACCAATGTTGGGCGTGTTTCACCAGGTGCTACCACGTGTCACAAAAGTCAATAATTTGACCGTAAAACTTTGAAAGTCCATAACTTTTGACTCGGGTATCCGAATTAGGTAAAAAAATTTTGATTCCACATAACTTTTCGAGATCTACGTAATGACACCTAATTTGACCTATTTTGTCTCTCACAAAAAAATTTGAATTTACAACAATGATACCATAATTATTAAAAATGACATGACTTTGTTACCTTATAATTATTACTAAAAATAATCTAACATTTTTATAATCATGAACAAAAACTTAAAAATCAAAATAAAACGAAAAGTACTCACTTAACTTTTTAATATAAATTATTCGATATTCTGTGATGTTAACTTTTATTAATTATAAATTTCATAAAATTCTTCATTCAAAATTTTAATATATATCTCAATAACATACATAATTAACCTTATCATAACTTACCATAATCATAAGGATCTTTATTATGAATGTTTCTAATCATAACAGTGGTTTTCTGTCCATTAATTTTTGTTTAAATGTTCTTATGGTATCATTATTGTAAATTTAATTTTTTTTGTGAGAGACAAAATATGCCAAATGAGGTGTCATTACGTAGATCTCGAAAAGTTATGTGGATTCAAAAAAAAATTACCTAATTCGAATACCTGAGTCAAAAGTTATGGACTTCTAAAGTTTTACGGTCAAACTGTTGGCTTTTGTGCCATGTGGCAGCATCTGGTGAAACACGCCCAACATTGGGCGTGTCTCTCTCCAACCGGTCACGCCCCTATGGGGCGTGTTTAACTGCTATATTTTCGTAATTAATTTCAAAACGACTACTTATTCGTAATTTTTTATTAAAAACACAATAAATTAATTTTTTTGCCAATTATAACATTCAAACACGTCCCACCGGTGTGTGACTTATTGGTGAGAGACACTCCTCATTGGAGTTTAAGGGTTTAATGCCTTTTATATTTTCTATATATATACAAAAATATGTGGAATCCATCTAAGCTCATGTAAGAAGAGAAAAAAAAAATGAATCCGACACACTCTTATGAATATATAAAAATTAAATTTACCTTCCGAGAAAGAATATGTGCCACAAGCCAAAATGGTTTGGTTGTCATAAACAAGGACACAAATCAATTCATGTCTAACAGTGAGTGCCAAATCAAGTACAAAAAACTTAACTAAGGAACTAACGTGATCGACGTCTAGTAAATGTTAATAACCACAAGATTTTTTTTATTTTATTTTTTATTTTTTGTTTACAGAAGAACTATTACGTCCATTAAACAAGGGTAGAGAAAGTCAAGCAACGGTCCCAATCTAAGATACAAGATCGAGCACAACAGCAAACGAGAAACTATTTAATCAAACACAAATTTGTGGGAATAAAGGTTTGCCGTTGTGATTATATAGCATAAATAGACATTAATGGAAACCGAGACACATTGATTATTCCTTGCAGAATGCAGACACGCGAATTATAGCTTCTACACAAATTTGACATTTACACCCCAAAATAAATAAATAATCACATTTTTCAAATAAAATTTTCCATTTTTCATTTTTTGTAAATGCACCAATTTAAGAGAATGAGCTAAAATCGAGAACATTAAACCTCTCCAAGGTAAATAAACATACGATGATGTTTTCACACCATTTTTCTAATAATATTTGCACTCTATTTGATTGGATGCTAACAAAAACACATTCCATTACCTAATCTCTCTCGCAAATTAGAAAAGTGTATAAACACCATTACGCATAGAGATCAACCCTCTTAGAAGTCTATCTCCAGGACATTAGGCTCAAATCAAACTGCATATCATTCATATTTGTTACTAAAAATAAATAAATAGTTTCAGCTGAAAATTGATATGACCCCGCAATGATATCAACGAGGTTCTTCCTGGTTCCTTTTGGTGAACACTGAACAGTAAAACAAAAGCAAAAAAACAAACAAACAAACGAAAAACTAAAAAGGGGTGGGGGTAATTAAATTAAAAAAAAAAATTGTACTAAAAAAGGACAACAAAATTAGTGGGATTACATCCCAAGTAACGTATCTTCTATTAATTTCAGTTTTTTGCCCTCTGTATTCAAATATTTATTTTCAGATTCGAGATATTTTACATACATTTCTTTTACATCCTTCCTGTGAAAATTTAGAGCATGGTTTCCTAAGCCTAATCTCTGGAGTAATGTGAATCATAAAAAAAAAAAAAGAACTGTCACCGATTGCTGCCTGCAGATACCACATGCAAAATGCTCAATTAGCTACATGAAACCAATAAAGCTATAACCTAAAGGAGGGACAACAAATACCCAGAAGAAAGAATTTACCTAAGTTTTAAGTACATAGGACCAAATTTTTTTCAATGAGCTAATCATTTTTGTATGAGCAGAAAGATGTCCTTCCATGATTCTTTCAGCTGTAGGTCCCATTTCATGAACGAATTTGACAGATTCAGAAAGTCGATTGAGAAGATTCATCAATGCAATTACTTCATTCCTTTGCAGCTGCAGCTGAAATACCATCAAGTTCAACATAAAGGGTTGTTGGTCAGTCAACCATATTTTCCTATTCATAGCAAACAGGCATGTAACGTTTTTTTCTTCTTAAAAAAAATAAAATAAAATAAAGTAAATTACTCTCACATCCAGTGTATTTTAGTCTATTTTGAAAACTCAACAGTGTATTTGGTTTGTGAAAATGGTTTCTGTTACCATTTTTTGTTTTCACTTACAATTACAAAAATGCCATTTTGTTTTGACTTTATTTCTTGTTTTCAAAAGTTTGTACAGGAAATGGTGAAACTAAACCTCCCTTGATTTTTTTTAATCTTTTTACAAAGTTCTATTATTGAGGGACTTTTCTATAGGTTTATAAAATAGAGAGGAGATATGAGTAATAAAGAAAAAATTTAAAGGGTGTGAGTAATTAAAAAATAAAAACATAATGTACATGCATAATTGACTTCGCCCAAGATTATTGTGACATTGAGTGGTCAGTGTTTGAACGGTGTGGTATAGAAGTACACTATTCCTACATGAGAAGGCTACTGGACCATCAATAATGTTAAAGGGAAAAAAGGAAAAATCCCGGTGCACAAGACTTGCCGACATACGATGGTAAGGGTTAAGGTTGATTGTATGCAATCTTACCCTTACATTTTTTGAAAAGAGGTTATTTCCTAGATTCAAACACATATCCTTCCGGTCACAAGGAGCAGCAGTAGCCCTCTAGGACCATCAATAATATGTTAATAAAAAATATTACAATATTACTGGTACCAAGTAAATTTAACAATATCTAATGTAGATACTAACCATCATCTGCATGGATGAACCAAGAATTTTTCAACCATAAGATATAAATATTTGATAGATAAAAACTTCTTAACCATCAAATTATGTCCAGAAGCAGGACAGGTGAACAAAATTACGAAGATACATATGTTTTAGTTCAGGACTTAAATTAGTGGGAGCATAATATATTTAAAGGTCACTGCAGAAGCAATTTGATTTAAGGTAACAAGACATGCATAAAGGCAGCAGCCAAGAGAGAAAGAAAAAAAAAAAAGCTCCAGCAAATGTACTTACGGTCTGACCCAAGTTTTCTTGACCATCAACAGAGAAGAGAATCTTTAATGCAGTTCCAAGACCAAGAACCTGAAGCTTTCCCCACAATCGACACTTCTCGCAACCTACACAATCCATCAATGCACTGCATTCCAGAAAAAAATTATTCCATTGCCAACAAGATATATCAAATGAAGCAGTTTGTAAATTGAGTCAGTGGTAAAATAATAAATGGAGAGCAGATACAAGGAGTGTTTGTTTAGTTGTTTTCCTACAGTTTAAAGTTAAATACAGATCAGCACTTGAAAGTCCAGATGAACCTACTTAAAATCATAAGTAGGAGGAAATTTAAAAAAATGACCATCAGGAAAATGAGAAAATAAAATTCTAAAACACAGAAGATGAAAGGCAGAACCATACCACCAGACTAAAAATAATAGCAGATTTTGGGTTAAAAATCTATATATCCTGTATGCTTTCCTTGAAAAAGTTTTCAAGCCTTAATATGAACCATTGTTAATGAATTGTCTTTCCTACATATTTTTTTGTAACATAAAGCATGTTCACAAGAGACTAAGCCACAACAAAACTCTACAGGTTATCAGTGGGTGATATTTAGCTAAGGCCAGATCTATGTCAGCTAGCTTTTAGACAATACCTGATGTTTCTGAATTGTTGTTGAATTTTCTGCTTTAGCTCAGGTCCACTTTGGCCTTTCCACAGCTTAGCTTCATCAAATGGAACTGGACATGCAGATTGAAGCTTGGGGTTGTAGAGTAGTTGTTTTATCAAGGATTGTGTCTTAAGGTCCTCGTTAGGATTACCAGTATCGTACTCAGCCTGTTCCAGATAATCTGCAGCCTAAAGTGGGATTTAGTTGTAGATTGCATCAAGAATGTTATTAACTAGTATTTGTAAAAGAAGAAATATCAAGATTGATCCATATATAGATGTACTGTTTATGAATTTAAACCAGGACAATTTGTACTCACTTTGGTTACTGCTCGCAAGACAAAGAGAAAAGTGAAATACAAATTTGTGACACGATCAGGGTATTTTAGTACTCGATCATACATCAAGCTAAGATTTTTGCCCCACTGGAATAATCAAAGAGAAAGAAAGAAGTTAGATATTTAAATAGATATTTCTTATTAGATTAACACACACAGATGTTGCAAAAAAATGCAGTAGGCTTCAAGATTAGCCTACATCCACATTACTTGTGCATAAAAATTGACCAACTTCATTCTACAAGGTCCGTTATACCAAACATTAAAACTTGTAGGCTGTAAAACGAAAAACAAAACTGCAATCTACCTACATGCTCAAATACGCAATAAACTGTATTAATTCCTCGAAAGCAATGCAAATGTTTCTTTCGAACAGAAAATTAGCTACCAATGAAAAGAGGAACATGAGATTTACCAAATTTGTAGCTTCATCAAGTAGATAATCAGCAGCTATATGAATTGATATGGAGGAGTGAAGACCTGATATCAATTTATACAAAATCTTTTTCTCCTGGCATAACTCTTGAGATGGATCTACAGAAGACAAACTTTTTCTGATTATAAAGGATGCACAGCAAGATAGCTTAGAGGCTTCACATAATGCTCCCAGCATCAATAATCCATAGGTAGCATACAAAATAGTTCCTCTTTTATGATCAGTTTAAACATATCTTTCACTTAAGAAATGAATGATGAGAACATGATTAACATCCATTCCTCGGATGACAAAAAGAGACATTTGGTGATTAAAAAATGCAACATTTAAAAGGAAGCATTTACTCCAGTACAGAAAGATAGAAAGTAATATTTCACATTCAAAGCTATCAGTCTTTCAATGTTTCAGGAAAGCTATCATTAAACCATCCGAAATTCCGGGCCTTTTCAAATTACTAAAGAAGTTTAACTGTTCACCAGATTTAAGTATGACTCATTCGAGCTATAGGAGCAGCAGTCTGACTAAATTCGTTTTTATTTTGCGGGGTCTGTGTGTTTTTGGGGGAGGGGGCAGGGTATTGATTGAAGAGCATATGCTTTTCAAAGACAACTTACATTTGGGGCAGTTCTCAGAGTAGACAGCATCCCATATCCTTCTTGCAGATGGACCAGTGTAACCAGTGTATCTTTCAGGATTCAGTTGAAGATTCACATATGTCATCTCATCTGCAAATGCAGACAGACATGCTTTCAATTGAAACACTTATTTTCTTAGAAAGAAATACAGAATATTATAAAATGATTTAATATTGATACACTAACAGTGTAAAAAGTATAAAGTATTTTAAACTCAAGTGAATCTGTTAAGACTGGATCAGATTGCCAACAAAAGAAATGAAAACACAGGGGAATTTGGCCCAGAACTTACTGGATTTTTTATATTGATAATGAAAACTGAATACATCTAAGAAAGAAGGAAAATAGTTTGTCTAACAATTACAATAACAAGAAGAAATGCAGAACAGCTACAGCTATGAATTGCATAAAGGAATAACGCAATGAACAGTCACGAATGCAACACTTTCGAGAGGTGTGCTCTCTCCCAAGTTCATTCCAAATCCAGCCTGCCTTTTTCCTCCATGCCACACCCTCCTTATAACCATTTACTCGCTTAAGGCAGCCACGTCAGCCCTCACATCATGTGCCTCTCCTTCCCTTCTAACTGAATTCCTTCCATCTAAAATATTCCCTGCCACCTCAGCTGACCCCCCTTGAGCTGATCCTCTGTGACGTCTTCTACTATACACCCTCAGAGGTGTCTTATCAATACTTCCCCCCATGACTTTCACCTTGTCCTCAAGGTGGAAATTGGGAAATTGGGAATTAAGCTGGGCGGAATCCTCCCATGAATTCTCAAAATCAGGCAAGTGTAGCCACTTGATCAAGACCTCCGTACGACCAAGTGCAGTTTTTTTCCATTGCAGGACAGATTCAGGCTCAACTCTCAGTTCCCAATCATCTGTTAGTATGGAAGGCAAAGGTTGCACAGTAGTAGAGGGGGAGATAGCTTTCTTCAATAAGGATACATGAAACACATTATGAACTCGACAGTCATCCGGAAGAGCTAATTTATAGGCAGTGGCACCAATGCGCTCAACAATCTGGTAAGGCCCATAAAAACGCGGGCTGAGTTTCTCGTTCACTCTTCTAGCTATGCTTTTAAGCCTATAAGGCTGCAGTTTGAGATACACCCAGTCACCCACAACAAATTCCAAATCACGTCGATGTTGGTCAGCCTGAACCTTCATACGATTTTGAGCATTTGACAATTGCTGTTGGAGTTCAATCAAAATAGAGTCTCGGTCCTGCAGCAGCTGTGAAACTTCATCCACAGGGGAAGCCATGAAACTGGATCTAAACAAGGTGGGGGGTTCACATCCATACAGAACTTTGAATGGAGTTGTACCCGTAGAGCTTTTATAGGATGTGTTATACCAAAACTCGGCCCAAGGGAGCCAAGTTGGCCAAGTTTTTGGTTTTGGGCTGCAAAAACATCGCAAATAATTTTCCAAACATCGGTTAACCACCTCTGTTTGACCATTAGATTGAGGGTGATAAGCCGTGCTATATTTTAATTTCGTGCCACTGCATCGAAATAATTCTGACCAGAAAGAGCTGATAAAAACACGATCTCTGTCACTTACAATGGAAGAGGGAAACCCATGCAAGCGAACAATTTCTTTGATAAACAGGAAAGCCACCTCCTTAGCTGTATATGGATGAGCCAAGGGAATAAAATGGGCATATTTGGACAGTCTATCTACCACCACAAAGATTGTGTCCAGCCCATGAGCTTTAGGCAGCCCGCCTACAAAATCCATGGAGATATCCGTCCAAAGCTGAGAGGGGATAGGCAAAGGCTGCAATAAACCCGCTGGAGACAGAGTTTGGGCCTTGCTTTGCTGACATACAGCACAGGCAGCCACATAATTCTTGATATTTTTTCTCATGCCTTCCCAATATACTACACCAGCAACCCTTTTATAAGTCCGTAAGAACCCAGAATGGCCTCCAATGCAAGAATCATGGAACTCCAACAGAATTTTAGGAACCAGTGCAGATTGTTTAGCCAGCACCATTTTCCCTTTATAAAACAGCCGCCCTCCTTGCAAACAGAATCCTTGATGAGCTTGGGGGTCAAGAAGTAAATCCTGAATAATAATCCCCATTCTTGAGTCCCTGTGCAACTCACTTTCAACTTGGTCATAAGCTGTAACATCAACACAAGACAAGGAAAATAAGTCTAAGTTCCTAGAAAGTGCATCAGCAACAACGTTCTCCTTTCCGGGTTGATATAGGATCTCAAAATCATACCCAAGCAGCTTTGATATCCACTTCTGTTGGTCCTCTCCCAACAACTTCTGCTCAGTTAGGAACTTGAGACTTTTCTGATCAGTTTTAATGATAAAGTGACGGCCCAGCAAGTAAGGCCTCCACTTTTGCACCGCAAAGACAATAGCCATTAATTCTTTTTCGTAAATAGACTTTTCTTGAGCTCTAGGTGAGAACCCTTGGCTAATAAAACTTATGGGTCGATTCCCTTGCATCAAAACAGCGCCTATCCCTCGTCCCGAAGCATCTGTCACCACCATAAAAGGCTTGGTAAAATCAGGGAGTGCCAAGACAGGGACGGAACACATAGCTGTCTTCAGTTGTTCAAAAGCTTGTTGTGCCTCTGCTGACCAAACAAAGCTGTCCTTCTTTAACAAGTCTGTCAATGGTTTAGCCACCTTTCCATACCCCTGCACAAATTTCCTATAGTAGCCGGTCAATCCAAGAAATCCTCTAAGTGCCTTCACATTCTTAGGGGGAAGCCACTTGGTCATGGCTTCAATTTTCTTAGGGTCAGCACGTACTCCCTCTTTGGAAATTATGTGACCCAAGTACTCAATGTATTCCTGCCCAAAGCTACATTTTTTTCTGTTTGCAAATAAACAGTGTTGCCTCAACACCCCAAACACCAATTTAAGATGTTCCAAATGATCAGTTTGGTCCTTGCTGAAAATTAGAATATCATCAAAAAAAACAAGAACAAACTTGCGTAAAAATGGTTTGAGGACCTCATTCATAAGAGATTGAAAGGTGGAAGGAGCATTGGTGAGCCCAAACGGCATCACCAAGTACTCGTAATGGCCCTCATGTGTTCTAAAAGCCGTTTTAGGAATGTCCTCCTCACGCATCCTAATCTGATGGTACCCCGATTTCAGATCCAGTTTAGAAAAAATGTTAGAGCCTCCTAACTCATCGAGTAATTCTTCTATGACCGGAATAGGGAATTTATCAGGAATAATCAGCTTATTTAAGGCTCGATAGTCAACACACACTCTCCAACTACCATCTTTTTTCCGAATCAGAATTACTGGGCTGGAGTAAGGGCTTACACTCGGTCTGATCATCCCAGATTGTAACAACTCAGCAACCAAATTTTCAATTAAATTTTTCTGATAATGGGGATACCTGTAGGGTCGAACATTTGGCACCTGACTTCCTGGTTTGAGGATTATAGCATGATCTTGTCTTCGGGTTGGAGGGAGATCATTTGGAACTTGAAAAATGTCCTCATACTCTGCGAGCAACTCATCTAATTCTCTCCAATCTCCAGTGTTCTTCTGCTCCACAGAAGACCACATCGAAGCTATCACATACCCTTGTCCGTCCTCAGCCAACGCCTTAATTGCTGAACGAAAAGAAGCTGTCGTTTTCTTGCAGGTTATAGATGAATCTCCCTTCAACACCACTTCACGGTCACCGTCAAGGAACTTCAAGGTGAGTTTGTTGAAATCAGCACGAATCTCTCCCAAACTTTTCAGCCAGTCGAGACCCAAAATGACTTCGGCCCCACCAAGCTCGAAGATGCGTAGATCCTGACGCGTGGATGTGCCCTGTATTAGAATTTCCACCTGACGGCAGATCCCGTGGCTAGTAACCTTGTAACCGTCCCCCATTTCCACCTTAAAAGTGAGGGTCTCTTCAACATCCAGACACAAACGGTCCGCCACTGCCTTACTCACAAAATTATGAGTCGCTCCGCAGTCCACTAGCATCGTGACACGCTCTCCTCGGATGGAGCCCCATAGCTGCATACTTTGGTTCGAAGAGAGCCCTAGGACGCTGTACATAGAAAGCTGCAACGCTTCCTCTTTCTCCGTCTCGTTCTCCTCTTCTACTTGGATGTTCTCCCCTTCTGGACGGTCGGCTTCTTCGTCGTCGTTCACCAACAAGAGCTGCAGCTGTGCACTTTTGCAACGATGTTCCAGATTCCATTTTTCATTGCACTTGAAACACGCTCCCCTACGCATGCGATCTTGAAGCTCCGTTTGGGAAAGTCTCCGTCCCACAAATTTCTGATTATTACTGGTCGAATCTGCTAGGGTTCGTGCAATGCCAGCAGATTCCCCCAAATTGGCAATTCCAGAGACACGCGTGTTATTCTCAGCCACATTATTAGGGGCAGAAGCGTCATTTCTCGACGTCTGATTGAGCTGGGTTGCGTGATTGGGCCCTTGTTTGTTACTCGTTGAGCTTGGCCCAATTCGATTTGGCTGATTTGTCCTACCTAGTCCAGCCCATCTTACTCCTCCGTTAATTCCAAACCCATCCCCAATCCACGCAGCGTTCCGTTTCTCCATCAGCATCGTCTCTCTCATCATCTCAGCCAAACTTGTGACGTTTCTCTGCAACAACTCAATACGGAAGCTGTCACAAATGCCATGGAGCCATATTTCCCTTAACATATGCTCATCAGCATAATGGAGGGGGCCAATGATCCGTTCAAATTCAGCCCTGTAAACTGCCACACTTCCAGTTTGTCTCAGATTCATTAATTCCTGGTAGGGACTTCCACTCACCTCCAATTGAAATCGCTCCATTGCGTCTGCTCTGAAGTCTGCCCACGACGCATTAGGGTTGTCGCGCTCCCACACCTGATACCAATTCAGAGCAGGACCTTCCAATACCACCATCACAGATTCCACCTTGTCTCTGTCTGGGATTCTATTAATTAAGAAGAATCTCTCCACCTTGTTCAGCCAGGAGTACACATCATCTCCTGAGAATCTTGGTAGATCTAGTCTTGGGCTTTGCCATCCCGTTCTACGCATGTCCGCCTCCGTCTCGAATCTATTGTCAGATTCTGTGGATTCAAGGCTCACCCTCCGTGAGCGACCACGACGACGATTTCCCTCATGATTACGGTGCCCTCTGCGATGACGGTCGTCTTGCAATAGCTGCAGTATTTCATTGAGTCTTTGTTCATTTTGCCGGAAGCGTTCCTCCACCAACGCCTCGTTGCTTCTTAGCCTCTCTTCTAAAATCTCAAATCGGTTGTCCATGTTGCGCGTCAGAACCATTCAAAGCACCTCAGATCGGAGTGCTCTGATACCAGTTGTTAAGACTGGATCAGATTGCCAACAAAAGAAATGAAAACACAGGGGAATTTGGCCCAGAACTTACTGGATTTTTTATATTGATAATGAAAACTGAATACATCTAAGAAAGAAGGAAAATAGTTTGTCTAACAATTACAATAACAAGAAGAAATGCAGAACAGCTACAGCTATGAATTGCATAAAGGAATAACGCAATGAACAGTCACGAATGCAACACTTTCGAGAGGTGTGCTCTCTCCCAAGTTCATTCCAAATCCAGCCTGCCTTTTTCCTTCCATGCCACACCCTCCTTATAACCATTTACTCGCTTAAGGCAGCCACGTCAGCCCTCACATCATGTGCCTCTCCTTCCCTTCTAACTGAATTCCTTCCATCTAAAATATTCCCTGCCACCTCAGCTGACCCCCCTTGAGCTGATCCTCTGTGACGTCTTCTACTATACACCCTCAGAGGTGTCTTATCAGAATCCTAAGCTACCATGCTACTTGATAAAAAATAGTTAAAAGCTTTTACTAGAAGTGAAAAATTTTATACCAAGTGAGGATCAAATTGAAATTTAATCATAAAAATATCTTAGAGTATCAAGAAATCAAACAAAAAATAGTCACCACAATAAACTAATTTGAAGCACATAAGCAAATCTGATGTCACCCAAAATATATTCATTTATGGATCCTAAATTCCTAATTTCAAGATTTCAGTATTAATATCTAATATTTCACACAATTACTAGGATAAACTACAACTATGACCAGAAACAATTTATGTATGAATTAATATATAGAGTAGCACACCATTGTCAGTCTCATCATCATTTGTCCATGGATTGTCTATTTCTGTCCATCCTCTGAAAGCTTTACTATCTAAAGTCCGGTCAACAGCTGCCTGAGGTTTTCCTTCTTGACAAACAAGATCATTCAATGAAAGGCGATGGGGCTTCTTAAATGATTCAGGGAATTCACTGTCCGGGCATTCACATACACTACAATCCCGCAACCGGCACATACCATCATCAGGCCAGAAAGGGCAGTCACACCATAACTTAGCCTACAAAAGATTTCATTAACCAGTCTTTAACACAAAGGAAACACAAGGGTTGACAAAAGAGAAAAATAATATGCAATTTAGTGACCGTTATTCCAACACATAATGCATCATGACATCATCAGAGGTATTTTGTAAGTATGCTAGTTGCATAATATCATTGGACCGCATAATCTTCAGTACCACTCACTCTTGAGTTCAAACTTTGTAGATAAATTTAGTTAACATTCATCCTAAACCAACAACACATAGCAACATAAACAATAGTTTTCCAACTTGACAGGGGTAGCAAGTTCAATATTTTAAATTCCATAATTCAAGTTAGAATAGTTTGAGCTGAAGGCCACTAAGTTCAGTTGAAAATGCAGATGGATTTACATGTACCATGCATAGACTTGATTCTAAAGCTTTAAGGTGTTCCTACAACATATGTGGTTCTATCTAATTTCTCATATAATCATATTGTTAATCAAATCAAAATTCGATTAGTCCAGTGATCAAGAAAACAAGCTAGGAAACTTACAACTCTATCACAGATATTCTCTGAAAAGGCCTCTCAATCCTGAATTGTGCTATTGGTATGTATACTATTGGTAATCTTTATGAGTCATTTAAGGGATAGGAACCAACGCTAGTCAATTGGTGATAAAAAAAACACACAGTAACACCAGAAGAGTCTGTTCAAAACCTAATGGTTTAGCTGGCTCTCATCAAACTCTAGGTAACCATGAGCATCAAGCCATCAACAACATAGAAGAGGATGCTAATCAATAGGAAATTCAAGAAAAATGTAGACATAAGAACTGAAAGTAAGCAGACCTTAAAATATCGAAAGAATGGGGTTTTCACAAGCTCTTGGAGGGATGGGTTCAACACTTCCTCATTAAGATGGTCCACAGTTTCATAATCACAACAACAATCCTCCACCATGCCACTATACTTTGGTGTACCCTGCAAGAGACCAAAAAAATAAAAAATTAAGCCTTCATCGTTGATTAAAAATTATTACTATTAAAGGAAATTCCTAGTCACATAGTTTTCTATCATTTGGGGCTCCAATCAGCACAAAATGTATTACTTTCCTGTGTTCGATGCAGAAGTCAATACAAGAAATTTCCGTTACAATCACCAATAGAAGGCATCATCTCCTTAGAAGTGCAATAAATTATTACAAAAAATATAAAGAAAATCAGAAAATCATATAAATATATTCCTAGTCCTACAATTACAATTTACTGCAGATTTTAATCTATGTTAAAATACTATAAACTGTAAAATGGATTGAGGTTAAGAATTGCATAATTCAAATTAAGAAAAAGAAAAAGAAGAGAAACACCCAATGTGGGTTGGTAATAAAACACAGGAACATGGTTTGGATTTGGAAACTGAAGAGAAATTACCCTAGCACACTGACATGCTCTATCAATGGCTCCAAAGAGAGCTATTCTGGGATAAGTTTTGGAAGACATGGCAATGGCAACAAACACAGCGATGATAGCAACCACAACCCAAACCCATCGCGTTCCACTACCCCTCTTCTCAACCTCCGTTTTCACCATCACCCTTTCTGAATCTCAGTGCAACCGAAACAAAGCACTGAGGTTTTCCCAAACCCCAGAAGAAGATCGTGGATGGGTCGCTGAGAAAAACAAAAACCCTCCAACAGAAACGCAAAAAGCGAAGATTTTTGGTGTTAGTTAACGGATCTGAATTTCGAGGAGGAAATTGGTGTGGCACTGAAACTGAACGCGTTTTCGCTGATGTGGGGGAGTTTGGGAAGGTTTTTAATTTTGTGCTGCGTTTTTTTTGTTTTCCTGCAGTCAAGGTCTTCCAAAAAATGAAACAGTTTGGTGGGAAAAATAAATGAGTGAAATGTTATGGGCGTTGTAGATGGTTTTACATTTTCCCTTGTGCCAAACAGCGGGCCAGAAAATTGGAGAAAATCTAAGTCAATTTTGGATGTTGATAAGTTTGGCAACGAGGCTGTCTACACGTATGATCCACTGACACGAGTAAACTATAATATATTTCGAGAAAACATATAAGTTTGGAGAAAATATAAGACACGATAATTTTAAAAAATATCATATTTCGACTACATGTTTTGTAAGAATGTTTGTGGTCTGAATTTGATCAGTTTTGGGAGTAAAAATCATCTAATCAAATCTCTTCGGTTTAATCATATAATTATCCATTTAATTTGGATTTTTTTTCAAATCTGATCCGATCCAATCCAATCCAATTTTTTTCAGTTTGGATTAGATCGGTTTTCGGCTTTTTGAAAATCTTAAAATTTATTTCATGATTATTATGCAAATAACATCTTTTGTATATATTGGCTATGTAATTTTTATTTTTTTAAATACAAAAGCATTAGTAAACTATAATATAGTTTTTTTTGAGAAATGAGATATCAAGCTCTACACAAATAAAATTTTGTTGATGAGATGTGACTAGATTTTTTTTTGGTTTTAGTTGATGGGTTAATGAGTTTTGGGTTTAGAAATTTTTGAACTATGATTGGGGAATGACCAAAGTAGGTAGAGGGAAATTGATATATTGGATCGGTTTAGATTGAATCGATTTTCATCAACCATTACAAAATCCGATCCAGTTCAATTAAAATTTGCCATTTTTTTCGATTTTCGATTTTGTCAGTTATCGGTTTTTTGGTTCGGTCATCGCGGTTTGAATCGGTTTGGATCGGTTGATGAACACCTCTAACGTTTTGATATTAAATATTATTTTTAATATATATAATATAATTTATATTTAATACATAATAAGTCATATAACCAATCAAATATTCAAATTCCATAACATAAATATAAAACAAAAGTAATTTTTCATACCTTGTTAATTTTTTATGTCAAATTCCATAACAAAAAAAATTGACTTATAAACTAATTTTTCATTTTTAGTTAATAAAATAAAATATATACCTTAAAAAAAACGCATCGGATGCGTGTCAAAGCGTTAACTGCGTGTCGAAAAAAGTTGACCTCATGTCAGAAACACATGTCGGAGCGTTGACCGCGTGTCCCAAAATATTGATCGCGTGTCGGACTGTCGATGTCCGACACGTGTCCGACATGTAAAATTTAAAAACAAAGCCGTGTTCGTGCTTTGATGGTCTACACAGAACTATTGCTATGAAAAAAAAACTAATTGATATGAGGAATAAAATTATGTTATATGATATGATTTTAATTATTTATATATAAATTAGTTGTTATTTTCTTTTAATTCTTTGTCTTAAAGTTTATTTTTTTAATTTTTATTATTGTTGAATAATTGAGATTGTGTGATATGACTTGGTCAAATTAAATGAGATATAAAAGAATTCATTTCAATTGATATCATGTTAGGTTGATATAAAGTGTAGATTGAGTTTTAAAAATTCCAAGTCCAATTTCATTTTCAGTTCAACCAAACTCGATTTGAAAATTAGTTTTGACGGGGGCTGTGTTTTTATATTGTTTTTAAGTTTCTATTTATTTATTTGATCTGCATGTGGACTGAACGAGTAGATCTGTAAGTTAAAAAAAATATTAATAAGGGAAGAAAAAGAGCAATGGACCTCTCGCTCATGGAGAATGGGAACACGAGAGCCCAGAGAGAGATGAGGAAGACCTTCCGGAAAGAAGCATAAAAAACTGTTATGGACCTGAGGAGGGTCCATATCTGCATGAAGTCCAAATAGTACAAGTCCGGTAAGCACTATAAATAGGAGTTAAAGACCACATGTATGACTGATCTCTTTAACCTTATTTTATGCAATCACACAAGCGCACACACACACCTCCTTTGGCTGAGGCCGTCATAAAGTGTGTAATGATTTGCTGATCTCAAGATACCTAATTCATAGGTATCTAGAGAGAAAGCACCAGATCCAATATCAAATACCTAACCTAGAGTCAGACATCTCTGCCTCAGGAAAAACATTGGTGCCGTCTGTGGGGAATTCGAACCCTATCCCTACGATTACGTGGTTAAAAGCCGTTGATCAAAACGGCGAGGACGACAAGAAGTGGGCATCGACAGCCCTCAAGATCGAATTCTAGGCACCAACTTATTCCTCCGATCAGGGAGGACCCTCTGGATCGTCAACAGATAGACATCAACGCTGTGCACGTTAGCGATGTGCATTCTGATTCGGTATCAACTCCGGCTGTTAATCCGAATGCCCCATACGTGCAGGGGTTGCAACCGATGGAAGAGCAGGCTGCAGATGCCATGCAAGTCCTAAATGGTGTACCTAACGATCCACGAGTGACAGATCTGGCTGTCGCTGCGGTGCTTCGGAGAATGGAGGAGATGGAGAGAAGGCATGAGCTCCAAATGGTGGAAGGTGATAGGCAGATTCGAGAGTTAAAGACTCGGTTAGGGCGAGTCTCCAACCCAGATCCGGAACAAGCTATAACACGGGTCATGACTGACCTGAGGATCACGAATCCCCTGCAGAACAATGATCAAACCCGGACTCAAGTGAGAAATGCTGATGGCCTACCTCAAAGGGGGACTCCCAACCTGGTTCGTAACCAGGAACCTCGGCATGAGGAACACTGGGGTGGTGGAAGAGGTACAACGAGGCGGAGAGAGAGCCCCTAGCCTCAAGATGTAAGACACCCGTTCAGAAACCCGGATGATGTATCCGTGGTCTACAGGAGGAAGTATCACAGGGGGCAATACAACGATAGTCCTTTCGTGGATGAGATTGTTGATGCGCCCTTTCCAGAAAATATGAATTTATCAGAGCTTCTCAAATATGACGGAACGCAGGACCCCCAAGTACACCTGGATGCCTTTGATACGACCATGTACATCAAAGGAATAGAAGAGCCTTTGATAACACGACTCTTTGCGACTACGTTGACAGGAGCGGCTTAAACGTGGTTTTCATCACTACCAGCGGGATCCATTAGATCTTTTGAAGAATTCGGTGGAAGATTCTTGCTGAATTTTGCCACTAGCAAAAACAGTCGAAGTCAGAATTTGCGCTGGGAAAAATAAGACAGCAACCTGGGGAAACCTTGCAAAAATACTTGGACCAATTCAAAATGGCGGCTTTTTAGGTCCCATGGCTGTCTGCAAACGTTCATCTGCACCTGGTAATTGTAGGATTGCATGGCTCTTCTAGGTTGGCTAAGTCCATACACAAAGACTCAGTCTGGACTCTAGCAGAGTTCACAGCACGATCGAAGAAGTACCTAAAGCTCGAACAGATGGAGATCGAGAACATGGATCAGAGGCAGTACCCCAGCCAAATAGAAAAACATGGAAGTCGGAAGCAAAATGACTTCCGGGGGAAAAGATAAGATGACAGAATTCCAGCTAGAGGGAAATTCGAGAAATACGCACCCTTGAACTCATCCAGGTCGCAAATCTAGAGAGAAGTGGCCTCCACGGAGATGAAGAAGGTAGACAGACCTCGACCTTTGCTGAATCAGGTCGGGTTGGACCAATCTCGAAATTGTGCATTCCATGATGGGCCTGGCCACACTACTGATGAACGCTGGGATTTAAGAGATGTGATAGAAAAGTATATCAGAGACGACAATCTGCGTCAATATCTGATCAGGGCTCAAGGATGGAAGAACAACAGGAAAAGAAGGGGGGGCCGGCTTATGAGCCCGCCAAGAGAAAGAAGATTCAAAGAAGAGGGCCGAGGTAAGAGGCCAGCCATAGAAGAGGATGAATTTGTGGAACCAGAGTTTGAATGCAATGTGATTAGTGGGGCTTTTGGTGGGGGAGGCGATACCATGAACGCCAGAAGAAAATATTTAAGAGAGGTGCTTTCGGTACGGGAGCGACTTAAGTTTAAGGAAGCCGAACCAGAGCCGCCACTGTTATATTTCACCAGAAAAGAATTGGAGGATGTGATGCCAGGACACGTGGATGGACTAGTCATTACGGGAACGCTAGTCAACTGCAGAGTCAAGAAGATATCTGTAGACAACGGCAGTTGTGCCGACATAATCTTATGGCAGGGGTTCAAAAAAATGAATCTAGACGAGGAAGATTTGAAGCCTTGTAACACGACCTTGATTGCATTTAACGGCCGTAATACTATTCCCAAAGGGTATATTGATCTCAGGCTGACCTTAGGAACCAAAGAGGCGTATAAATCCGAAAGGGTAAGGTTCATCGTAGCCGACTTCACTTCAGAGTATGTTGGGTGGTTTGCTGATGGTGGAAAATATAAGTTCTGATCGGGGACGTTCATATGTTCTTGTAGAACCCAGATTCGTCCCTCAGTTCCAACCCAAGTGCGCAAGTGCACGCATCAAGTAATAAAGGGAGTATTAATGCACAAATTATCATTCCCATGAGGATAGAGTGCTAATTATTGTTTTATCACTGTTTATAAAGAGTGAAAATGAGAAGAAAAGTTAGTAAATTAACTGTCTGGTCAAACGTTCCCTACTGTCTTGACAACGTTCCTCAGGAACAGTAGGTTCAACCTGATGGCAAACAGTTGCTCGCTGTGTTATGTATGTGATCCTTCCTGTTTAGAAGAAGGTGAGATAACAATCATTGGAGTTTTTATAAGTACTAAATAAAATAACTAAAACAGAAATAACTATAATCAAGAGACAACAGGGTGGTGGTTAAAACAGTTTAACAGAAGGAACGGATTCACTGCTTCACTCTTAAAGGGGCTGTTTTCTCTGCTCAAGACTTAGCACCTTTTGGGTTTGTCCCAGTTTCTTTGCCTGCTAACTCTGATTCCTCAGCTCATGGTCTAGATGGCTCACAAGTTTCCATATTCCTATGGCTCCCTTGACTCCAACAGGTACTTAGTTCAGAACCTTAAAATGGACGAGTTGGCCCCTTATTCCTAAGGTGACCAGTAGCATTTTTGTCATGACATCTACCTTCCCTCAATGGCTAAGCTATCTGAAATTCCTTCCTTATGGAAGTTCCTTTCTCAGTATGTACCTAATTTCCATTGGCGCACAATGAATATAGCTTACTCAGCCAAAGAAATACAAAAAGCTTCGGTCAAGAGTTTTGAAAACAGTTCTTTAAGAGTTTCACAGTTTACCCGTTCCACAGATAGTTCAGCTCATGATTGATAGTTTAAACATAATTATTCTCAACTGAGATCACATAGACCCGAGATTCAGTCAAGAGATAACGATTGGAACGAAGAGAAAAACACTTATATTAATTTAAAAGACAGTTTACAAAAAGAAACAGAAAATGGAGAAAGATGGGTAATTGCTCGTGAGGAGTCTTTATGGTTGTTTATAGAAAAGGGAAGAGGGGTTGTCGCTTAACTATAATTACAACTGAAAATTAAACTAAGTTACTAACTACTACTAAGTGATCTCTTCCTTTCGGACTACAAACCCTCCAGGATTCGATGATGTTTTTGTGTGAGGGAGGTCCTATTTATAGCTGGAAGAGGAATGGCAAGACTGTAATTCCCTTGGAGCTAGTTGCTTGAATGAGGGAACGAGACGGTGGCAGTAGAGTGTGAAGCTTGCGTGAATTGCTGAATGGAATAGGGTTTGGTGATGATTAGCCGTTGTTTGCAGGCCTTCCCATATTTTGCTTCTGTTTTCAGCCAATGAGAACTCTTGATTCCCTGCTCTTCACGTTTCCAGCTGCTCAGTTGGTGCACCGCCTTGATTTTTAGAAGTCTTTAACTCTACGTTACCTGCAAAGTGTACAGAAGCATTAAATGAATGGAGCAGGTGCATTAAATGTGTCTCAGTCCGTTCCCCTTTTAATATATTTTAAAGGAATATGTTATCATCCGTTCCCCTACTGTGTTTTTGTCACAAATGTGTAAAACAAGTGATTTTCATGCTGAAGTTGCTCATCAGATGAGGGAACGTATGGTATTTTGCCATCAAAATGGGCTTAGATGGGAATGAATTTACGTCCCATCAGAGTACAATGTCATATTGGGAAGGCTGACCATCCACGATTGGGATATGTTAGTTTCTACCAAACACCAAAAGCTTAAGATGATTGGTAAGCGGAATACGGTAATTACCATTGCCGGGGATCAGAAGGAATCCCGAGACTGCTATTTCAAATCGGTTAGGACGATGGAAAGCAGTCCCAAACATTAAGCCGGGATCAAAAACAGTAACAGTAAAGAAGGCCCGAGCCAGGAGAAGAAAACTACGGTCAACATGGTGGAGTTAGACATGAGGGATGATACTCAGATGCCGAGGCCTGAATCCGATGGAGAATTAGAAGAGGTAACCATTGGAGAGCAGGGACAAATTACACAGATCGATAAGGGGTTGGCAGACGAGGTAAAAGTCCAACTTATCGCATGTTTAAGGAACAACAAGGACGTCTTCGCTTGGAAGTCCTCAGAAATTCCTAGGGTCAATCTTGTAGCTCAAAAGAAGAGGAAGCTCATCCCGGAACGTCAGCAGGTATTAGAAGATCATGTGAAGGAACTGTTGGAAGCAGGATTCATCAGGGAAATACAGTACACAACTTGGCTTTCTAATGTGATAATGGTTAAGAAGCCAAATGGAAAGTGGAGGGTATGCACGGATTACACTGATTTAAATAAAGTGTGCCTTAAGGATGCATACCCTATGCCTAACATAGACCAATTGGTTGATAGCTCTTCCGGGTTCCAGATGCTGTCATTTATGGATGCCTATCAGGGTATAACCAAATTCCACTGCATCCAAAAGACCAAGAAAAGACAGCCTTCATAGTAGAGAAGGTGAATTATTGCTACAATGTGATGCCTTTTGGTTTGAAATCCTCAGGGGCCACTTACCAGAGAATGATGAATCAAGTATTAGTAGACCATCTTGGCAAGAGCGTGGAAGTGTATATAGATGACATGATAGTTAAGTCATTGAACTTTAAGGTGCATATTGAGGATTTGAAGACAACTTTTGAAAAACTAAGACAACACAACATTCGGTTAAACCCGGCCAAATGTGCTTTTGGAGTCATTGCAGGAAAATTTCTTGGATTTATGCTGACTCACATGGGCATTGAAGCCAATCCAGAAAAATGTAGAGCCGTGCTGGAGATGAAAGCCCAGGCAAATAAGAAAGAGATAAAACAGCTGATAGGAAGGTTAGCCTCCCTCACTAGATTTTTACCTCGGTCTGCAGAAATGGCATTACCTTTCTTCAAGCTACTTCAAAAAGAGGTGTAGTATGGATGGACTTCAGAATGTGAAGCCGCATTCCAGGAGATTAAGAAGCAGCTGGCTTCATCACCAGTTTTAACCAGACCAAGAGAAGGGGAGGCATTGATAATGTCCCTTTCTGTGGGAGATGTTGCTGTCAGCTCGGTTCTAGTACAAGAAAACGAGAAAGGGCAACAACCGATCTACTTTGTGAGTCGTCTCCTACAGGGAGCAGAACTCAGGTACCAGAAGCTGGAGAAGGTGGATTTCGCCTTGTTAATCTCGGCTAGACGACTCAGAGCATATTTTCAAGGACACCAAATTGTGGTCAGATCGGACTTGCCAATTCGGCAGGTCCTTCACAAGCCTGATTTAGCAGGAAGAATGATGGCTTGGGCGGTGGGACTGTCAGAATTTGATATAGTATACGAAAGTCGTAAAGCAATCAAATCTCAAGCATTGGCGGATTTTATTAGGGAGCTTACTTCAATCCAAATGGAGAGTTCTAATAGCCCGGACACCTGGAAAGTATACGTGGACGGATCCTCTAACTCCAAAGGTAGTGGGGCTGGGTTATCATTGAAAATCCGGAAGGAATGGCGATTGAGTACTCCATGCAAATGTATTTTGAAACATCAAACAACCAGGCGGAGTACGAGGCCTTCATAGCCGGCCTGTAGCAGGCTAAGGAACTCGTAGCACGGAACTAGCAGGTTTACAGTGATTCTCAATTTGTCACCTCCCAAATTGAAAGAAGTTATCCAGCTAGGGGACCATTGTTGACAAAATATATGGACTCTGCAAGGCAGTTAATAGCTGATGAACCAAGGGTTCATCAGGTTTTTAAGCATGAATTAATATCAATTTGTGTGATTAAATGGATGGAAAAGAGGTTAATGTCCTGGAAATCTCTCAAATACAAGTTTTGAAGCTTATGTTGAAAATTTACATTGTTTTTGTAGGAAAATGAAGCTCAATGAAGCAGAAGAGAGAAGGAAGAAAATTCTGAAGAATGGAAAAATTCTAAGTGTTGGGCGCTAAAACGTCCAAATTTAAGAGTTTTAGCGCCCTGCTGTTCAAAAAGATGCTGGTGCTGAGCGCTAAAACGCCCAAATCGAACATTTTAGCGCCCTGCTGTGCGAAAATGTTTTGGTGCTGAGCGCTAAAACGCCCAAATCGAATGTTTTAGCGCCCAAGACAGTTAAAAATGGTTGCTCATCCGTCCTAGTTGAGCGCTAAAATGTCCAAGAATGAGTGTTTTAGCGCCCATGTCAGTTTCTGGTTGTTATTCAGTTGTATTTTGTAACTCTATATAAGGTAAGGGCCTTCACATTTGGACATAATTCTCTCTCTCAGATTCTAATTTGACCTTTCCCATCACACTAGGAGAGGGGAGATCAGATCAGATCAGATCTTTCATAGATTTGATCTGACTCCTCATTCTCTCTGAATTTCCAAATTCCTTAGGATTAGTTTATGTAATAGTTAGTACTTTCCTATGTAATTGCACTTGAAGATTGAAGACTCAATTATCATAACATTGGAGTTTGATCTTTCTTCTTCCTTTGTTTGTATTTCAATTATGTCTGAGTAGAGTTTTTTGTAGTCTGATTCAAAGGAACTCAAGTTTGAATTTATGAATGGTTAATTAGATGTCTTGTTTATTTATTATGTGATTTGTATGAAGTTGTCTTGATTAATTCTTCATGTTGATAAATAGTGTAGAACAAACATGTTTACATTGTTTCTCTATTTTTGACAACTTCATCATTAGTGTTCTAGTAGTCAAGACATTGATGCTAGGATTCTGATGTGGTCTTAAGACCTTAGTGATTAATACGTGTATTAAGAAAGAAATCACCAAGACATTGGGGTTTCTGATTAATGTCTCTATCATGGTAGTAAGACATTACATCTTGAGATGATAAGAAAAAGGTTGATCAACATCACATAGTAGGTAATTCATTATGGAAATTGGTTCATCCATAAATTCATGCTTGAGGGAAATTGACATCTGACTACTTGTTTACATTATAATTCACATTTTATTTGCTTATTAAGTTTTAATACAATTCAACTTAGTTTCTG